AAAATTTATTTATTTATTTATTTATTTAAATTTATAACCCGCCCTCCCCGGCAAATGGGCTCAGGGCGGCGTACAGATGGGGCCAATGCCCAATACATAAAACATTAAAACTGCATTTTAAAAACATTCAGTGCAACATAAGCGTTGTTATATATATATATTTTATTGTTATATATAGATTTTAAAAACCCACTAGCTTCCTTGAAGCCCAAGAAGGTATAATCCCCACTTGGATCAACTCTCTGGTGGCATTCAAAGTTACTAAATTCTTTTGGATAGCAAAAGTGGCCAACTTCAAGCCATTGGCATTTATTACAACATCTTTTAATGACCAACAAAACCACCAGGGACAAAGGAAATTTTTATTGATAGGACCATACCGTTTTTTAATTTAATGATCATTGTCGGCCCCTATTCATGCATTAAAATCACCCACTAGGAGGAATTAACAGATTGGGAAGTTGCTTTTAGTTTTATTAAATATTTCATCCAACAAGGCCCAGTTATCATTCAATTCATGTGAAGTTGCAGGTAGCATATATAATGTGAATAAAATTATAGAATGAGATCTCAGTGTTAAGTACTAAAACAAAATCCTGTGCCATAATCATTTCAGAATCATGGATGAGCAATGCCATACAAATTAGACATGCTAACCCTTCTCAGGAATGGCCTAAAGGGCTTTTTGTTTATTTTAGTTTATTTTTATTTTTTTTATTCGTATCCCGCCCTCCCCTTAACGGGATGCACTCTGAAAGAAAGTTAAATAGCCAGGGTAATATATCTCCTCCACTATCCAGGTTTCCTGGAAAAATATAATATTGAAAGTGGATAAGAATGTCCTGGTATCCTCACAGGAAACCTTGTAAAACCAGCGTGCCACATTTCAGCTTAACAGTCTTGTGGAAGGAGACAGTTATGCCGAGGGCTGGTTGCTTACGTTTATTCAGATTAGAACTAAGACTTTTCAGTCTTGCTGCACATTCACACATCCCAAGGTAGGACGTTGGTATTCAATTTCAAGCAGTATCCATTGGAACAAATATTAAATCTTTTTTACCTCATTGTGTTTAACAATAAGTTTCTTTTAAAAAGGCTAATTTTATTAGGAAGGGAATTGAAAATGAATCAGCCAGTATCATAATGCTGCTGTATAAATAGATGGCACGATTTCATTTGGAATACTGTGTACCGTTCTTGTCACCATACCTCAGAAAGGACATTATAGCATTGGGAAAAGTGCAGAAAAGGGCAACTAGAATGATAAAAGGGTTGGAACACTTTCCCTATGAAGAAACGTTAAAACGCTTGGGGCTCTTCAGTTTGGAGAAACAACAGCTGAGGGGTGACATGATCGAGGTTTACAAGATTATGCATGGGACAGAGCAGGTAGAGAAAGAAGTACTTTTCTCCCTTTCTCACAATACAAGAACTCGTAGGCACTCAATGAAATTGCTGAGCAGTCGGGTTAGAACAGATAAAAGGAAGTACTTCTTCACCCAAAGAGTGATTAACACATGGAATTCACAGAGGTCCATAAGTGGCTATTAGCCACAAGGTATAGACAAGAACTCTCAGTCTGGGGCAAGTGATGCTCTGTATTCTTGGTCCTTGGGGGGGGGGCAACAGTGGCAGGGCTTCTAGTGTCCTGGCCCCACTGGTGAACCTCCTGATGGCACCTGGTATTTTTGGCCACTGTGTGAAAGTGTTGGACTGGACGGGCCATTGGCCCGATCCAACATTGGCTTCTCTTCTGTTCTTATGTTCTTATTCTATAACTGCAAAAAATCAATTTGCTAGCTATTTTTGTCCATTTTGTGTCTTACTCCCTCTTATGTTTGTCTCACTTATTTGTGTTGGTTTCCTTTTTTTTGGTTTCAGGTGCGAGTGTCTTTCTGGTTTATGTGGTATTCCAAAATGTGAGGCAGGCTACATCCCCCAAATAGTGTCACGTGGAGACGGAACGCCTGGCAAGTGCTGTGATGTTTTTGAATGCGTCAGTGGTATGTGTCCTTCGTAGTGTATTTGGACTGAAAAATGTGATTTATTTGTAAATGAATAACTAATTAATCAGTGTAATCATAAGAAGAGCCCAAGTAACATTTATGTAGAAGCTGCTGTGGGTCAGTTTGTATAGATAGATAGATTAGCCACCAGTACTAATGTTAAAACCAATTTATCATGGTCCTCCTAAAGAAAATTTTGTTGGAGTGCATATCTATGTTTCTTGCATCTGAATTCTAATATTTAATTCAGAAAAGCACAACAACACAATAGTTAAATGTTCCAAAGAAAACATTGTGCCTATAGCTTTTGTTAGAAAATGGGGGAGAGGATTCCTCACCTAAAAAAAAAATAAAATCCTGTATATGGTATGAAGTCTGACCTAGAAGCTACTTAAAATATTTGATATATGGGATTGGAGCCTACTAGGTTTTCTACTGATAAAAGAGAAAGGAGCGGGGGGGGGTTTCTGACATGCATCTCGCTGGTCTAGAAAGATGGTAGTATCATTCATCAGCATGGGCTGATGAGCATACACTGGGGCAGCTTTGTTATCAGTCGCTATCACAAGTTGATCCACTAAAACTGGGGCATTCCTTTGTTCATTTTGGCTAGCACCACCAGGCAAATTAGGCTGTTCCATGTCTGCTTTTTTGGAGTCTGACTGTGGAATAGCCAAAGTATTATACTCTGTGGGCAGGCTTGAAACCAGGTCTGTTAAGCACTCTGCATCAGGTAAAACTATAGGAATGCAAGTGGAGGGTCTTTTTGACTGGAGATCTGGACATAAAGTTTGTAGGGGATTTCTTTGGCAGAAATGGGGTGCCAATATAGATAAATGAGACATATTCTCCACTGCAAGTTTTTGTGCTTGTCATTTGCTATTAGTAAAAGTAGTATGCTAGTAAAGTTCATATATTATTCTTAACTTATAAAACGTAGGTTATCAAATAGCTGAAACCATCTAGAACAGGGTGTTGAACTCATTTGTTATGAGGGCCAGATCTGACATAAATGAGATCTTGTCTGGCCGGGCCATGTGTGTCATAAAATGTAATGTCAGGTAGTAAAGACATAAACTTTATAAAGGACACAGATGAACACAATTAAAGATTTTTAAACTTTAACTAAAACGGGCTTAAAACACTAGCATTCTTACAATATTTTGTCTCTGATAACTGACACCTCTTGCTCTGATGTCTGTTTACTCACAACCATAACTGTTCTTTATTTGTGACTATTAAAAGTATTTTTAAACAACTTGGCTTTGCATAGTTTCTGGAACCTTTGAATCATGGGTGCCTTTTTCACCTCTTTGGTGAGGCTAGTTCTATAAGAGAGGAGCTACCACTGAAAATGCCTGGATAGAAATGGTCCTCACTGCAATAGGTAGTAAAATAATCAACAAACTCTCTACCTTTGTATGCACAAGGGAAAATTCTGATTGAGAGATTCTTGCACACACAAAAAGCCTTGTCTTTCATAGAATGTGAAGTTCCAGCATTTTCAAGGCATTAGTTTGTAGCCATTATATGTATATAATATCTCTTACATATGTAAGACAGTAGAAACATCTTAATAATGACACTACTTGCATACTATAGCAGTTGCGGAGGGTACTCCCATGTATATTTATTACTTATTGGGTGACCCTGTGTGTGCCATTTCATCATAAGACTCACAACCACCTGTGTTTGGGGTGTAGAAACTTTATGGATTATTAAGATGTCTTTAACGGTAATGTTAAGTTGCATGTTTTCAGTTATGGAAATAGGCTTTCTTATACTGCCTTTTTGTTGACTTCTTGGTCTGGATCTTGGCACAGATTCATTCTTTAATCTATATCATAGCCAAACATGTCTATTGAAAAGTACCCTTTTCTATTTGCTGTTTCAGAAGTGAAGCCAGCCTGTATATATAATAGTGTGGAATATTATGATGGAGATATGTTTCGAATGGATGCTTGCCGTTTTTGTCGGTGTCAAGGTGGCGTCTCTATTTGTTTCTCCGCACAGTGTGGGGAGCTACATTGTGAGAGATACTATGTACCAGAAGGAGAGTGCTGTCCAGTATGCGAAGGTAACTTAAAAAAATAAACACTGCTATTTTTTTTTTATAGATTGGCCAGTCTTACCAGGATGTCCTTTGCTTTTTTGACACCACAATAATTTGATTAATAATGCAAAACTTGTATTTCACATAACAGTCTTTTCATAGAATCAGTAGTGTTGTACTGCAAGAGTAGTATTTCTGTCTACTTTTATTAAAAACAGAGTGCTTCTGTATACATTGTCTAACGACTGTTTGTAATTTATACAGTTTTATTCTTAACATTGTGCAATATTGCTGTTGTATGAATACCAATATGGGTAATATTTCTAACTTTGTCCTCATCTCAGTATTTTAAATGTAGCTGTGTTATCAACATTGCATATGCATAAGTACTGCAGCTGGATTCAATAATCTTGTTTTTTATTGCAGATTCGGTTTCTCCAGTTAGTAACCCGGCTGGCTGTTATGCTGATGGCCAGATCCAAGCACATGGTGATCGCTGGAGGGAAGATGATTGTACTTTCTGCCAGTGTATCAATGGAGAGTCCCATTGTGTTGCCACAGCCTGTGGACAGAACTGCTTGAATCCTGTAAAAGTTCCTGGGGAATGCTGCCCAATGTGTGAAGGTCAGACACTGAAAAATCAAATGCAGTTTTTGCATAACAGATTATTTGCCTTGAACTCAGAATTACGGTGGTTATGTCACTGTTAATTTTTAACGTTTCTCCAAAAGTTGCCAGTTCAGGACATGTGGAAAACCCTCTACCTTTCCATTGCTCAATAATTTTTCAGCATCTTTTTGCATAGGAAATAAGTTTTTTCACAATATAATTCTACCCCTCAGGCATCACATAGTATAAGTTCCACAGCACCTTGTAGTCAGTATCACTGAGGGCAAACAGAGTCTGTACTCTGAATGGGTGATGAAAGAAAACATACCTCTGTTGTCCTGGAAACTGGGCTGACACTCCCTGTCCTGCTACACTGCTGTAAGTTTCAGCACCACCTGTTGTTATGCAGCAAGAAGTTTTGCTTGGGTTCATATGTGTGTTCCTGTACCTGTTCTGGTATAACCAGTAAGCTAAACTGAAATGGATTGGAGCAAGAATATTATTGGAACAATTTTGCACAGGTATACAACATGCACACAAAAAATGACCAGAGCTGGAAGCGTGTTTTGTAGGGACAGGAAAGTTTATGAAAATGCTGTTTCAGCTCAGCTCTGGTTTGCACAGACTGTTGAATGGCATGGATAAAGTAGTAGCTTTCAGTTTTCAGAATTTAGTAAACATAGTCAAAAGATGGAAAGGCTGACCAAATAAGATATTTAACTAAACCCCAGGGAAGTTGTAAGTAGCTGGGTATGAAGGAAGCTGAAGTGTGATTCCAGCAGGATCAAGACTGAAGTTGGGAGTGCCAGTTACAAGTCAGGGTCTCAGTTGCTAAAAATCCATCCAGTGATGGGCTGGACCAAGCCTGAAGGTGAGTAGATAGGAAGTCTGTTAGACTCTGATGAGAGCAGATAGCAAAGGTGATGTAGGAAGAATAAGAATGCTGAAAGGAAGATACCTAGAGGACAGCTTGCCCGTCTGTTATCTGGCAAAGCTTTATGTGTGTCAACATGTGCACATTGTCAATCTATTAAACTATAGCGAAAACTTAGGCTGCAACAGAAAACAGTATTAAGTTCTGGTAGAATATTCTTCCTAACTATTTAATTATTTCATTTGTGGAGAATCAGTAATTTTGTAGCACAAGTCCAGTCACTGTTGTGAGGCTCTCATGCATTCTGTTGTGCTGCACACACTGCCTCCAGGGTGTTAAAAATAAGCAACAAAAACTTCTAATCTTGCTTATAGGAATATATCAGAACACCAATTTAAATGGATCCACCCCATATAAATGGTGATCTAGTACCATTACCAATACGTCTTCGTATTACTAGAAGAAATATAGAAGTGATGTGGTTATAAATGCAATGAAAACTATGTGTATTTCATGGAGGAGATGGGGGAGAGCTCTGGTTTTTTATATGAATAGGAATTGCTGGTAAGGGGAGCAAAACTCATCTCCCCTTCCTTGTCTGTACTCCATTGCTTCAATGTTTTTCTCCCAACCTGGCTCACCTCCAGTATTGGAGCTGCATGTACTGAAAAGTGCTTCTACCATTGGTTTGAAGAAAAGCAAGGGGAGGAGAGAATTTTGGCAACTCAGCCCACATACTACTTTCCATGTTGTAAATACATACCTTCTCCTGCTGCTTTATGTGAGAACTGTGCAGACATGTGAATAAATGCATATAAATTGTGCAAGGCATTATATGGAGGAGGGGACAGTTTGGAAATCTCTACCTCTCAGGATTTTGCCGGAGGTAGAGGAAGTTTTATTTGCTCCCAGCTGCCTTGTCCCTTCTGCAAATTGGTTCCTTATCTGGCTGTTGTTTTTATCAAAGGTTTCCCTCTCTTTTTGTTTTTACAAAGTCATATTTGTCTGCATACCTGGAGAATCTGCTGAGGAGGTAGTAATGTTTAGTATTTTTATGAAATGTGAAAGTATAACTGCTTTTTATAGTAAATGAATAATTATAAATGTACTTAGTTTTTAACAGTGGGAAAATTATTTAAAAATGTGAAAACTGAAATCAACAGCATTGTGAAACCACAAAAACAAAATGTTGTGTGTTGCAGAGGCATTCATATGGTACTAGGTGATGTCATAGGGTTACTTTTCTGTTCCCTTGTTTTGACAGACTGGTAGTTTTTGTCCATGAATAATGTTGTTTGCTGTCAGTATTGTGCTTGGGTAGTCAGGTGTTTCCAGGAAGACTGTGGAACTGTTAGATGGTATGGCTACGTTAGCTTTGGTTTCTAGTTAGTATGTTATTTACTCTGATTCTGGTTGATCTTCAGATGGTGACTGTATTACAGTGGTGTTGTTCTTGTGTGGTGATCAGGATTCACAGGCTGTGTTATATAAGGTCGTGCCACCACATTCTTGAATGAAGTAATTGAAGATATCCTATATGTTGTGACATATGAAAGTACTTTTCCAGCATTAAGCCTAAAATAGCAATGATGCCAGGAATGTTACTTATTAAGTAGTCCATTCAAAAGAGTAGTAATGCTATCATCTCTGTTACTATTACATTTGAATCATAGATCCAAGAGATTTTCAGCAGTGTGAATTGGCAGTGCTATATTTTAAAATGCCTTTTGAAAGCATTTCACTTATTCCGGGAGACCTTTAAAAGGGGGGTTTTTTTCCTCCTAAATTTCAGATTTTTCTGCTTCTGGCCTGATAAAAATGTGAAGAAGAAGAAATACCCTGCCCCCCTTTTCAGGTTTTTTTTTTGGACCTTCCCCTGGTTTTACAGTAGCTTCATGCCGCTGCCTTGTATTTAGAATGTTTAGATACACGGTTCGTTAGACAAGCATTTCACACTCCTGGTTGTCTGTCTTGATGCTTTCAGAATACAATCCTTTGTACATTTAAGTAAGCAGCCCTGTAGCCAGAAAATTTTTGGCTTGGTGGCGGTGGGGGCGCCATGGTGACGTCACTTGTGACATCACCCAGAAGTGACACGCTGATTGGCTGGCAGGCTAGCAGCAGGCTCTCCTTCTCCCTTTCTGTTCCCAGAGGAGCCTCTTGCTCCAGGAAAGGAAAGGAAGAAGGAGAGCCGCGGAGGCAGGCAGGACAGCAAGCAGAAAGAGACATCATGATGCTTGTTTCTGCTTGTTGCCTGCTGCCCTGCCTACCTGGCTCCTCAGCTGTCCCTCAGCAGCAGTGCCCCAGGCTCCCTCCCCCTCCTGGCCAACCTCGAGGCACGCAGCACCATGCGCCCCAGGCTCCCTCCCCCTCCATCTCTATTTATCAATGGAAAATAAGCAAGGAGAGCAAAACAATCGAGCAGTTTTATAGTTTGAAGTCATAACTATCAATTTTATGGGAGACAGCTCCTATGCAGATATCCTTTGGATCTTTCCCTGCCCTGTTCCACTCTTTGGAGGCTGCCAAGGCAAGTGAGAAAGAAAACCTCTCAGAAAAATGTTAGTGTAATTCGACCTCTTCCCTCAACTACCGGAGCGGAGGGCCTGCCTTTGCCAGCGCTTGTACACTAAAGCCCAGCCTGATTGGCTGGTGGGCAGACACGGTGGATCCAGGACTCGTGAGACAGAGGCACTGCTGCCTCACAAGGAGTGCATGAGAAAGCAGCTGTCTGCTTCTTTTGATGGGGCACCCTCAGCTGCCAGCACCATCATGTTGGTTTGGCAAGCCCACGTGACTTATTGTGGCCAGCATGGCAGCTGCAGGTGAGTCGAGGCTGGGCTCCTTCCCTACCTCCTCGGTTTCTTGTCCGAGTCTCTGGCTTGCTGCTGACTCCCTCCCAGCCAACCACAAGGCATGCAGCGCCACATGCCCCGAGCTCCCTCCGCCAGACTACGGGTCTGGGAGTAAAGTCCCCTTGAACTCAAAAGGACTGAAATCAAACTAAGCATACAGTAGACTGGGCTGCACATTACTTAGAAATGCTAGTCTGCCTTAGTTGAAAGCTTAGGAGAAAATTTAAAGTCTTAGTATCTGAATTACATGAGCATCCTCTATGAAATTACCCTCAACCCCTGGTCCAGTCTGTTTCAGTTTGCTGTGAATTTTTAAATTATATCTGAGTGATCTTAAAGCTTTTTATTGAAGAAGGGGTACAAGCAATACTTTCTGAGCCCAGAAATCTGGAAATAGTTTCTTCTAAGAAACATTCCTTGACTAGATTTACTCCTCTTTGTGAAGGTAAATCTGTATTACATTACTCTTAAAAACTGAGATTATGGAGAGGTGTTTTTAAATTATTGTTAAGAAATCAGAATGAATTATGTCTATTTGGAGGTGCTGCATACCCAGGTATTTTCTACAGTAATGTTTTAAAATAGCTATTTTTTGCAAAGTCTTTGCTTTCAGTCATTCTGTAAAGTTTTAATTAAAGGATAAAGCCAAGTAATACAACCACTAAAGCACTTCATTAGGATGATTTGTTATTTCTGCATTAGGAATTTGGGCACCAGGAAGGAAACTCTCTAGCTCTGAACTTGGAACTGATATTTTTCATGTAATGAACTCAGGGGAAAGAAAAGCTGTCTGGAATGCTAACTATGTGGTTGGAAAACATTTAGTCACCCTTGGAATGATATGAATGTTTTTCCAGGAAGCTTAAGTAAATGCACATTCTGCAGCTCAGGAGGCAACATTTAACTTTTTAATTTTATTTTTGGAACACAGACATATTCCAAGAACATGTACATTTAAAAAGTTCATTAAGGAGTACATAGTCTTTTGAGGGATGTAGCACACAATTTTTTGGGTTAATCAACTATTGTTGCACTCCTGTGCATTTGAATGTATTTTTATAACATTGCATTGAACAGTATTAAAGATATTTTAAATCATCATCTGATTAGGTGTGTCATATTTTAGAATTATAAGAAAGGGATAGAGAGCCATTATTTGCTTACTAAAATTGTATTCCTACATTAATTTTACAAGTCATTCCAATCTTTCAGTTTTTGAGAGTGTCCTTCCTTATTGTATATTAGTTATTTCTGATTTTCTAGATTAAGGCCCATTAATTCTATAG